TGAATGTTGGTTACTCTATGAGTTTTTAAATATCAATTCTTAATCTTATTAGGTCTAAACTCTTGTTGGTTATATGCCCTTTTTTTGTATAGTCCTCAAGTATCCTCTATTGGAGGCAATCCAATTTGAAATGGGTAAAGCCACTATAAATAGTAAAATACTCACTAGAAAAAAAAAATTATATGATGGGAATCTAATGTCAAGTGTAAACCACATGACATAGAAAGTATGGGTGACAAAACGGACTACAACCTGTGGGTCGACTTATTGGCCCATAAAAAATTGGTAAGCCAAGCTAGATATTTTGACCCAGCAGTCCGCCTGGCTTGCCTTGCCTAGCTCGCTAGCCTGTGCAAGCCAAATGGCAGACCAGGATAGGCTGACTCGCTAGCTCTTTTTTTTAATGTTCTTTTTTATTTAGTTATTATTTTAAATTTAAATTTAATTAAATTATTTCAAATTTATTTTGTGTATAATATGTGATTTATTGTATAATAAATCTGTTGTGTATTTGATTTATTTTATTATATATAATTTGAGATTTTTTTATTATTTAGGTACGCAAATTTATGTAAATCCTTTAAATATGGAAAAAAATATGTTGAAAGAATAACTCAAAATAAATATACAAACTTTTTTTTTCTATTTTTCTTTTTTCCCCTTTTTTTTACGAGTCAACCTGTCAACCTGTTAACTCACCCTTAAGCAAGGTGGACTAAGATTCGCAACCCATTTTTTCTAGTAGGTCAATCTAACTCGATTCATTTTTAGCTGGTCAAGTCTAAATGGATCGAATTGATCCATTTTATCATCCTAATAGAAAATGACATAGTGACACAACACATTTTATAATAGATATTGATTCACCTAACATAAAAGTGTTTCTATGTTAGGTAAAACAACACCTAACATAAAAAGTTTTGTTATATTTAAAAAATTTTCACTACATCACTTTGTTTGTCTTTATCATAAATTTTTTTTTTTTAATTTACCCTAATGTTTATCCTAGTTTTATATATATATATAT